CACACACACACACACACACACACTGAACCTGTTGTAAAGACCTCATAAAGACTCAACATCTGTTTATTGCAATGCATACCAGGAGATTGTGCAGCACAAACACCCACCCTGATAAATACCCACTGACTGACACACACACACACACACACACGCACACACACACACACACACACACACACACACACACACACCCACACACACACCAGTTGGCGATTTAATCACTGCATGCAGGCACAGGTACAGGTGCCGCACAGAGCAGGGGCCCTAATGATGATAATGATGTGTGTAAATGAGAATTTTAAGATACCTGATATACCAGTATGAAGCTACAATACGTGTCCATCAGCAGGTGAACAGCTGTGCGATTATTTAACATGTTGTGCTTCATTAGTTGGCTAATTAACAGCTGCTTTGTTGGATGCTGGTTTCTTTATACAACCATGTTTGTTTGGCTTCCCCGGAGTATTAAACTGTGAAATGAGCTTTATAATCACAACCTAAAAATACAAGGCCGTATTTGTTGATATTGTCTCCAGTTTCACCGGTCCCCCGGTATGCTCCCTGAAACCCTACATCTTTTGCGAAGCTCCAGCCAAGAAAGATGCAACACCATATAATAGCCTATTTTCAGAGAAGAGGGAAAAGGAGAAGATTCTTACTGCTAAATCTCCATGGAAGTCTGGAGCATTTTCTTTCAGCGGCCTGCAGACTATCAGGCTGTTTTCGCCTAGCGCCCAGTTATCTGTTGCTCTAATCGCTTAAAAAATGCACGCTTTCCCGTCTCCCTTTCACCTCTCCGCCTCCCAGATGAGAAAGATGGCTCCCTCAAAGCGAATTTAAATGCTTAGAGCAGCAGAGTTGGGTGGTGTGATGTTGTGGGAAATGAAAATGGTGGTAAATTATTTGTTAAGTTGGCAATCACCGTAAGGTTACCAACCACTTACATAAACAGCAGTCCGTTTTACTATTTAAAACATTAATTCTTCTTTCCCCACAATGTTTATACAACTACCATCAGTTTAAGACTTGATGATGCCTGCCATGAAGTTAAGTTGTAAAAGGTTTATGTAAATACAGAGCTGGGTAAACTCGATTGGGAAGGTTTTGTCCTCTACTGTGCCCCTTTTTTGCTGGGTGAAAAAGGGGCTGGGGTCCTTGGATGGAGACTGTGGCCACTTTCTGACTTTCCATGATGGAGGGTTAAGCACAAAC